TTTCACATATTTATACATTATTATCGAATTTTGAACAACAGCACTTCGAAGAAATCTTAAATTAGTTCATTTCTGTGACTATATAATTTCAATAAATATCTGTTCAAAGTGAAATGGGTTACTTGATTTTTGTAATAAAGAATAGAGGCTATAGACCAGGGGTGGCCAACTTTTGCGTACATAAGATCTACTTTTTATCTTAAAACAGTGTCGCGATCGACTTGTCCTAGGTATAGGCTAAGGGAGGTGTGAAATACAAACTATGTTTAAGTAGGTAAGAAAAGCCACAATTTAATTAAAACATGAAGAAAAGGTACTTACATTATAAATAGAAGAAAAATTGAAACTCAATGTTGTCACTTTCGGGGACCACCCCTTCACCCTTCCTCTCTCTACCGTGTCCCGACCTACTCTCTCTGTCCATCTTTCTGCCTTTCTTTTTTTCGATTTTACGACCCTTTGTGTACATTTGTATACATTACAACTGTACGCAAATGGATTGCACATTGATTAGGGTTTCTTATTTCCCGGTGTTTTGCTTGTCCCGCGATTCCAGGATAAAAGTGCACTGTTTCCCGGAATAAAATCAATTATCAATTCTATCCCGAGATAGAATTAATTATTTTTAATAAATAATTAATTGAATTTTAAATATAAATTAAAAATTAAATAAAACTTAATACAAAATATTATTGTAAATTTCTATAAGATTTTAAAAAGCAAAGATGTCAATACTCCGATCACTCAATCTAATTCTTACTTTAGTAATGTAAAGTCTTGCTACCGAGAATACCCTTTCCGATTCAATTGATGTGATTGGAATCGTGTTTAATGCATTTAAGAGAAGACAGATATGTTTTTCCCCCCACCTGTAGCCTGGAAGATTTCTAGTTTGTTTTCGAGATTGTAGTACTTCTTTTGCTCTCTAGTATTCTTCATTTGTCTATTTTGATTGTTTTAATAGAAACATCAAGCTTATAGCCCAATAATTCGTCAGTTAGTTTGTCTTTGATAATCAGGTTTATGAAGAAAAACTTCGTACTTGCAGACATCGTACTCGTTTGTATCTTTGTCCAATTTGTACAACCTGGCGGTACTCAGTTATCGAAGCTACTGGGCATGGTTAAAAATTTAGACAGCATAAGCACAATTATTTCAGATATTACAGGTTCCGACAATTTAAACAATTTTGAGAGTCATGTCACAATTATGCTACGTATTGATTATTGACCATTTGTGGCATGCTATAACGAGCAAAAACTTAAGAAACTGATAAGTAGGTTTAAAATTGATAAATACAAATGTATTCTGACAGTTTATGAGTTAATTATGCTTTCTATTTGCAAAATTTCTTCAACCTTAACACAAAATAAGAAAAAAAGTGAATTTTTAAGAAATTTGCCGGATTTCCCGGGATATTTCCCGGATTAAAAAAACAACCGGGATCCCATTTGAGAAACCCTAACATGTACCGACAAAACCGCATCCAAGGGAGGCCGCGGAGGACCGATATCACTACAGTTGTGTTGCGTTCGGTTACAAGTGTAACACATTAAGTCAAGACATCGGAGTGATCGACCAAAATTGCATTCGCGATCGACTTGTTGGCCACCCCTGCTATAGACAATATAAAACTAATTTAAAGTATAAGAAATTAAATATTCTTTAAAATTTATTTTGTTAATTTTGGTTTACGTAGATCTAACGAAACTGTTTGTCAGTTTAGAATAATGATAAACAACCTCATTAGAGTGCGGGCTGAAAGAGAACTTCTTAGACTTCCGGTGGGTCACATACACTTTCTTGCCGAGTTTTTTCGCTAACTAAATGAAATTAACTTAATTATTTTTATTATAAACATTAATGTTCATAAACGTTGAAGAATTCAAATAAATTTAATGTTCTAGTTAATACTTTACTCTACGAAAAGGGAAAAAGAAAAGAAATGCTAAAACGCCTCTATATTTATGTAGGACAATTTAATATCGTAATTAATGGCGATTTTTGAATTATTTACAAATACTGTTAAATAATGTTACACGATTTTTCAAACATTTTAAAATCTATAAATAAATCTTCATAAATTACAATTCATTCCATTTTCATGTCTAATAAAACTGCCTATGATCAGATTTATCGTAACGGAAATATTTCTACTTCTTTTATAATAAAGAATGTAAGCAGATTTTACTTTATTTTTTCTCTTTACAACGTACAGGGTTACCAGAAAGTTATTCAATTTATGCATTTATATCAACAGTGTTCGTCTCAAATGTATGCTTGAATTAATAAAATATGAATTGCTTAAAGTAAAATATTTTTATATTGCGAACCGAAAGTGATCTTTTCTTTGTAATTTAAAAAAAATAGAAATAAGAAAAATGCTTTGAACGTTATACAATATTGCTTCTTACACCATTATTATATAGCGTTTACAACAAAGCAGATGAAGACAACACGTTGCCTGGAGTCAAAATTGAAGTAATACATTTTTCCGAAATGAGATTATATTTAACGCACCTACAGAACTATTTTCTAGAAAATCGCTTTCTCCGTTTAGTATGACGTTATAAATATTTATTTTTCGTTTAATGTGTTTTTATATAGACTAAATATGTAATTATTAAAGTCTTAGAGCAATAAAATGGCTAGTGAGGCGCAACTACCATTAATCTATATACAGAATATCGCAGTTTAAATAGAAGAAAGATAATTTATTTAAAGTAATTTATTCTTTAAGGCAATCACAGATTATAAACACACACTGTACAATACAGTACAACTAAATACAGAATTTCATTAAATGTACTGTACAATGCCCTCGTGCCTCATTACGAGTATCTTCGAAAACTAGGCCGGCATTTGATCATTTGAAAGAAATTCTACACGATAGTTTATTGAAGTATATTTTTTTACTGTGTAGTAAGCGGCATTTCCAATCCATGGAGAGATCCTATTGCAGTCTCGCGATTCTTCCTATTCAGATACAACGGTTTATCTATAATTTATCCGGATCATATCTTGGGTTGTTTTCGGAATTTTCTTCTTCTGTTTCACATGTCTAATATATCGACACTTAATGGAACTTGAATATCGCCACGCGTCTCTTTTATATCTTCTTTTGTTTAAAAAATTTCTTTTCGGGCCTTCTTTTTCGACTAATATTAGAATTCTAACAGCAAAGCAACATTTGATTGCATTGGCAGCAATAGAAAAAGGCATATCAGCGGTGTTTTTCCTATTTACACTTATCGTCTATGAATCTTTTCAAAACTTTCTTTTGGCAAGTTATTAGTTTTTTTCCCCCATATTTTATTTAGAACTTCAGTTTATAAAAAATTAGGAAGACATATTGCTCTTAACAATAACTTTTATTATTTTTCGTTTATTTCTTTTTGCAAAATTATGTTGTAGTTTATATTAAATATGTTCCCAATTATCTTCATTAGAAGTTATTTATGATTTGGCGAAGTTCCTAAATATTTTCTCCTATCAACTTTAATTGAATTCATATCTTTTACTGACATTCTTATTTGTTTTATTGGAGTTTTCCATTCTTTCATTTGCACTAAATATTGATTTTCTCTTTAGTAATTTTAATTTTTGAGGAAATTTAACTTTTAATTTCACGTTGTTTTTTTCAGTTTTTTATTTTTCATTTTGTAAAGTAATTATTATAAAAAAATTTGAATATCAAAACTGTGTGACTGGTAAAGACTTCTATATTTTCTTCTGGAATGATGGTTATCTTGTCCTGAAATTTAATATATTCTAGCAGAATTAAAAATTTTATCTTACAATATTCTGACTGATTAACGCGAAGCATTCGATGCTATCACAATTACGCGTGTTAAGGTAATCCTAATTATAATAAGATCAACTATAATGAGCGAGAGATGAAGAACAATCCGTGTTGCCTATGATGAATTATAAGGATCAGGACCGAGTTTCGAAACGGATCTCTCATGGCGGCAGGTTACAACTTTATGACAGGATTACTATAACAGACAACAATGGAAGACATAACAAACGAGTTTAAATCTTTATGAAAAACTTAAGTGTTATATTTAAAGGAATTTTGATAGTCCTTTTCCTTAAATTCACTTTATAGTTTCATTTCAGTTAAAGAACCAATATCATCAAGTGGAAAAATAATTCTATGTGTTTTGTGTAATTTCTTATATATATATTGTGATAGATACTGTATATATATATTTATTGTGATAGATATATTATAATAGAACAGAGCAGTAAAATTTTTTTGGTGTACCATACTGTACTGTACATTCTAATTCTTGGTTTCTTTGTTTAGTCCATTATTGTATTACTTTATCCATGGCCGTACGAGTGGAGTAGGAGAGGACAAATTCCAAATTCCCTCTCTCCAAATTCGGGCAAAGCAATAAAAAAGAAAAGTTAACAAATTATCAGTAATGGCAAATTAAAAATTGATACTTGTGTTTTTATTCGCGTAAAATCCCGGAAAAAGTCAACTCCCTGTGCCCTTTAGCTGAAGTGCTCCATACTCCCCACGACTTTAGCTATAAAAATAACAAAGTTTATATCTAATTTATGATAAAATACTGTAGTAATAAAGAGGTATTTTTATATGAAATTTTACTTTATAATGTGTTTATTAATTTCATTTCTTTAGAAATGTGCTTTTTCTTTTTTATTTTTATTTTACATTCATTTCTTGAACGTTATTGATAAAGAACTGAAGTTTTTTCTGGCATTTTTTTTCCACGTAGAAAGTTAATTTCTTATACAGTAATTAAAAACTTTCCTTGATGAGTCCACTCAATTTAATCTCGAGTAAAAATAATTTCGGTATCAATTTATTTTAACGTCGGAGTTTTTATATTAACATTAATAATAATAGTAATGATGTAAATAGTAATGATAATAGTAATGATAGTAATAATAGTAATGATGATAATGATAATACTGTAATAAAATACAACTCATCTTCAAGTATAGCTTCGTTTTTTTAGTAATGTATTATTTTTCCTTGTGAGTCTGATTTTTTTCGAGTTTCTTCATTTAATTCGAGTTTTCTTTTTTCCTATAACTTGAAAATTTCTAAAGAAATGTCGTTTTTATTTTTCTATTTACTTTATTTAATCTATACTAACGAAATTCGGTTAGTTACAAAGATTTTTTAAAAATCATTTTCATGCTAATAGCCTAAATATTTATATAATATATTCTCATTTTTTAGTAGATTATACGGTAAAAAATACAAAAACAGTTTGCTATTAATCACACATTTTCGTTCTTTCCAATTGAGTGTTTCCCAAAGTGTCATACGAAAAAGGTCTTAGGGAATAGGTGTCAATTTTCTGTACACAGCACTGTACAGAAAATTGACACCTATACTGTACACAGCACTGTACAGTACAGTAATATACTGTACACAGCACTGTTCAGTACAGTAGCCTACTATTAGGACTGTCTCAGAGTTTTCCCTGACCCCGAAGATAACTTAGGATCCAGGGAAAAATCCCCAGTTTTTTCTTGGGTAATTTCAGCTTTTCCCAAATTAATTTTAGTAAAAGTAACATAAAGTGATTCCTAATCGTAATTACTGCAAATTAATGTTATTTTTTACCAACTAAATATAAAATTGTTAAGACTGCTTTTTATTAATAAATATTCTATAAATTTCATTTGTTCAAAAACAAAAAAGAAAAAAATATCAAAAGAGGCCGGCTCTACCCGGGTTCGAACAACTTCTCGACGGCCGTACGAATCATTAAGAAAAATACTGTAATAAATTATTTTACACGTATATATTTCGTATGAATTCTCCTACTCAAATTGCGATGAGTGCTGCATTTGGGTAGCTTACCAAAGACGTTTTTTTGACAAAAGTGTTCACAGTACTTACGATAATTTAAGAAGGAATACACGGATGTCGAAACTTTAGGAAACATTGCTCTACTATAATAAATAAAATTCGAATTCGCATTTATTACGTTAAATTATTATACTATTGCCATTCTATTTTGAAATGTTCAAAATATTTTAAATCGGAAATACAAATTTATTTTTAAATATGCAATAACGGAAAAAAAGTGATAAAACACTCGAGGAAGTAGATTAAATAGGGAAGGAGAGATCAGCAGAAAATCGAATGACCCTCTCCGTCAATAAATGTACGATAAGAAGATGTCTTTCGGCAAATATCGCCCATGGAAGATTGTATACTCCGCCTTTCCACCTTTCCATCGCTCCTCCTCCCGTTACTCCTCTTGTCGATTTTCCGCCATTCACATATCTTTAACCTTACCTTATCTTTTTCAGTTTTCACTTATCTGAGGTCATTCCCATAGTTTTTTTCCCCTCCGTTATTATTATCGAAATGAAACTTGATACTTTTTCTCTTTTATTATTATTTTTCTTGCCATCTAAAAAATTAAATTGATGCAAATTAAAAAAAAAGTGTGTGCAAATGAATTAAGAATTCGCTCGCATCGATATTAAAAGCCGGATTAGTTTAAATGATTTCATTCAAAAGTAAAAAGAAAGATCGACGATATAAAAAAGATTTGATAAAAATAAACTTGATCAATAATATAAAAATGAACAGAAATTGTCTCTATTTTATTATTATTATTCTGTTTATATTAAAGCGGATGGATAAGTTATAATTTTGAAATTATCAAGGAAAGGTACGGTGTTACTTATTGCGTTTAGAACAAACGATTTTAATAAATTACTTTGTTATTATAATAAAATGCGAAACATATATTATAAAAGTTATTAAGAATGTCTATATATACGAAATGACATTTATTTAATACTTTAGAAAACCTATTTTAGAATATAGAAAAATCTGTTGTACTGTACAGTACAGTATATTCGTTATAGAACCAAACTTGACTTTTGACCTTTTTATATCTTTATTATATGAAAACCAAAGTAGCTTCTAAAGAAATTTTATGTTAAAAATATTTTCGATTGAATATATAAACGAAAAATTTGATTTTATTGATAAAATTTTTATAAATTCTATTAAAAAATTTACACCTGAAAAATAAATAAATTAGTTTAAACTTGTTATGATTTATTTATTTTGCAATTATAACAATAAACAGAACTATAAACTAAATGATTTAAAGGCAATAGACCCGACGAGATACAAAGACATCATCATACAGATCTAACTAATTTTCTACTTAGAAAAAATCAAGTTCCATTCGATTGTTTTAGAAGAAATAAGTCGGAATTAAGAAAGATAAATGAGTATATAATTCATAAATTTTTTATGATATATATATATATTATAAAAAAGCAGTGAAACAGAAGTAAACAGAAATTAGAATTGGACGAACACTCAAAATATTTACAAAGATATAAAAATAAGATGGTAGACAGCTGACTGAGAATACAGAACACTAAAATTTGTTATGAATTCTTTTCTTCTGATATAAACACACGCAATAAACAAATTATAAATATTTTTATTATATTTATCAATGTCACTGCATCATTAGCAAATAAACCATAATGAAGGGCGAATTAATTTATGATAAAACAGGATAAATATATTTTTGAAACTAGATGAAATAATTCCGTAAGAGGAGTGATTTTATTTATATTTGAAGATCGAAATTAGTATAATAATCCTATTTGTAAACTGTTTAAATGATCCGATAAAATGGCGTAATAAGTTCTGTATAGTACTTATTATGTTATTTTTATTGGATCATTTAAACAGTTTACAAATATGATTATTATACTGTACATTATTAATTGTACAGTACATTTTAAATAATTTTTTAATTGACCGTCTTCTGAACATATTTTAATAATGCAGGATTACTTTTAAACAATTTCCTTAAACACGTCTTTATATTTGATCGAGAATGTGTCGTTTCTTTAGTCTTTCCGTCATGTAAATCCACACATGGGTTTATAGTCAGATTCATGCAGAGGCGGATTTAACAGCGGGCACTAGACCTAGACCCCGACTTCAGAAGGACCCCGCAAAACCCCAACTTTACACTTTTTTCTAATGACACCAAGTTTGGTTTCATATGTGCAATTTTAATTACGTACAACTTTACAATCAGCAGTAAAAGTTGAATATAATTTTATAGGAAATAAAACATTAATAGTACATAATATTTTTTATTTATTTAAAAATATGATTAACATGTATTTTTTATTTTCCCCTCTCTTTTTTTAAGAGGCTCAATATTTTCTTCTGCGCCCGGGACGTCAATCGACCTGAACCCTCTGGATTCATGTTAATTCTATCATTCTGTTTCTGTTGTTCTACTGTTTCCATCACTATTATACTATTTATCATTTAGTGATAAATACAGAAGTACGAATATAAACTTGTTTATTCAGATTGTTTTTATCATATTTATGTTCACACTAAATGAACCGTAACTATAAAAAATTTCATAGCAAAGAGTTAATTTGTTTCTCTTTCTGCTCTCATAACAGTAATCGTTTTTTAATTGCTGACAATAAACAACACTCAACAATATAAAAACAAAAACAAAAAATCATATTCGCTGTAAAGTGTAGTTAAAATTGCATATATTATCTTTATTCGTAATAAAAGTATATTCAACTTTATATTATTTATATTTGAATTGTTTGCCTGTCATGCTAATAATAATATGCATATGCAAAAATTATTTCAGTAGATAAATAAAAATTTAAAAATAAAATATAAACGAATAATTCTATTTATGGTTCATTTTGTTTCTAACATTAAATGTATATAAATATAATCTTAAACGAATGTTTGCTATTTTCGTATAACTGCGCAAATATGAATTCTTTTACCTTCAGGAGAGATCGGTTGAATATTTTTAAACACCACACACTATTAAAAAAAAAAAAAAAACTCTTTTTCGCCCATTACGGGTGAGTCTGATCCATAATAAAATCAGTCAAGACAGACAATGGATGAGAGCATAAAGTCAGACTCAAATTGTCTAAGAAAAATTACAATACTGTAAATGTATGAATCGGATTCGAGCGCTGACGGCAGTAAGAAAAGACCTTGCCTTGCTTTTCTGGCCGAGATGAAATATCCTGAGTCAAATCCGATCAGGAACTTCGAGATTTTTCCAGATTTCGTTTTTCCATCCTCATTTATGCCGTACGATTTCACCGACTCCCTCCTAATGGCAATATCGGAATTGGTCATGTATCTCGCAGTGTATTGTAATCTCTCTTCAAATCTTATTCTATCCGTTAGGGCTTTTACAAATTAAAATTACTCTAACAAAAATATATCATCACAACAAAAGTGATAACTTTTTTCATTTAAAAAGAGCATTTTGTATTACGTAAAAAGCATAACTTATAGATCAGACTCAAACCAAACCTAAGCTATCGTCTTCCATCATTTTACTTTTGGAATTACCACGTCTCTTAAGATATTTAAAATAAATATCAATATAGATTTAAGATTAGATCAGCCAAATCTAAGATATAGATTAGTGTACTGCACCTATATGTTAGATTTTGATCAAAGCTGCTGATTGGCATCGTTGACTGATTCAAAACTTTTATCTTTTATCTCGAAGAGATTTGGGATAAGCGTTGAATCAGTCAACGATAAACTTCATTCCGAAATCTGATAATCCAATTCCATAAAGAGGAGAAAGTTTGAGTAACGATATCAAGACAATGAACTTAACATGCAGCGAAATACAGAGAAGATATTATGGATAAGGCGAATACATTATCATGAACAATTTTTAGAGAAACAATTTAATCCATTATACAGATATCTAGAATTGAATATTTTCATATAGTCCATATGTTTATTACCGAATAATAAAATATGATATGGCGGTAAATTTTATACATGCGAGTTGTTTTCAGAATAAGTTAAAGCGTAAAACTGTTCGATTTGTTTTAATCAACTATATTAAATTTTCAAGTGTTAATTACGGGTTAAACAAAATAAATTTTAATAAACTAAATAATGGTAAGAAAATGAAAATATTCAAGATTTTTCAACGATTAAATGAAAACTTTTAATCGCTACTTCTATAAATATTTCTAATAACGAAAATAAAAGGTTTAATTATAAAGTCACCGATTACGTATCTATAAACTTGATAGCAAAGTTAAACATAAAATGCTTCTGATTAAACTTTGTAAACAGATTTATCTACGCTCAATGATAAAGATAATAGTAATAACAATTACTATAATCTAAATTTATAATGTTAAATAATTACATATTATGCTTTCTTTACAGATATAGTAAACGCAATAACCATATTAAAATAGACTCCCTTACAACGGAGTTCATGACATTTTTCAAAAATTAATTTGATTTTCAGAATCATCTAAGCATAGGACAGTTCTGGAGTGTTCCGAAAGTTCGTAGTTCAGTCATTTTGTGTATCCAGTTAGTTAATAAAAATAAATAAACTAAGTTACTCCATTAGTTTTTCAATTATCAAAGTTATTTTATGGTTACTAGTTGTAAACTACGTCCTTGTGAAGAGCTTAGTGTTTTGTCTAAACTTCAACGTCGTTGTTTCCAATTAGATAAAACTATAAATATAGATAAATAATCTTAGAAAATATACAGAAATATTGAAATAATGAACATTGGCTTAAACAACAGCGCCTCTAGTGTCGCCATTGCAGTCATTTTCTTTATATTCGAGTATAATGCTTGTAATGTAACATAACGCAACGGTAAGACGGTCGATCATAACTTCACTGCAGAGCATTTAATCTTGCGAGGAGGATTCCGTCGCGGGATAAACTTTCGTTCTCACATTTAAAGATATTTCTTTCGTCTATGATATTTGCTATTATCTTTCGGAAATGGCCATCATTTTGCTGAATAAACTGGAAAGTTTTTACAGGAATATTTGCATTTGAAAAATTTCATTGTCATTAAATCAAGAAAAAAATGAATATTTACAAATTAAATATAGTTTATTTTACAATTGAAATGTAAAAGTTCATCATTAATTTTATTTAACATATACTCTCTGCGGATACGATATTTCGAAATCGTTGTTAAAAATCTTTTCTATAGAGGGACAAGATTTACACCTATAACTAATGGTGAGTTCGAAACAATTCAATTATTTTTGTAATTTGTAATAATAAGAAACTGAATTTTAGCTGATCCTAATTGTTTATAGAGTATTTCACTTCGATTGAATCATTTTCCATTGCTGATAGATACAGATCAACTCCTCGTACAGTACATTATTATAGAATGCTCAATTAAATTCCTCAAGACCCTCGTCCGCGAAATTGAATTCAATACGGGTCAAATAAGTCCGTACAAGAAAAACTTGAGTTAACAAGTAGCCCATAGTATGCTTAAACGTTTTAATTTTGCGAAGATTCCATTGTATAAGCTACTCTTATTAGAGATAATTTAACCGTTGTAAACAGTTTA